TCTAAGTATATGGTTGTTGTCCCGCTTATGTCAAAACAGCCAGCGGACATTTTAGCAGGACTGATGGAATGTATTAAAAAATGGATGGAAAGCCCAAACTAATTTATATTGACGACGAAGGAGCTTATAACAATCAAAGTGTTATAGATTTCTTGAAGGGTGAAAAAATAGAGTTGCACAGAACCAGAGGACACCCAGCATTTGCGGAGAGGGCAATAAGGACGTTTAAAGATAGCTTGTATAAGAGGGTTGAAAACGATGAGAAAAAAGGAAAGGCTATTCAATGGACAGACTACATACACGAGATTATATTAACTTATAACAATGGAATAAAGCACACTTCGCACGGCTTAACACCGTCAGAAGCAAGAAAGCCTAAACACCAATTAGAAGTGAGTTTAAATTTAGGTATGAAAGCCAAAAGAAATAGAGTTTATCCAGATTTAAATGTAGGAAATGAAGTTAAGATATTCAGGAAAAGGAGACCGAATGAAAAGGAGAGAGTAGGAGTATGGACTAAACAAACACACAAAATAGCAAAGATTGAAAAGAAGTTAGGACAGGAATATTATTATATTGAAAATTATGACAGGGCATTTTTGAGACATGAGTTATTAAGGGTATAAATTTATTTCTTGTAAAAAAGTATTTAAAGAAATAAAAACTATATATATATTGTAATAGAAATGGTGGAAACCGAAATCAATAATTATATCAATAAAAAATGCTACGATTGTTGCCACTTTAAAAAAGAAAATATGGAATTATATAAATTGAATTTACCTAATGGAATAGTTAATAATGTTATTGATTATTCAATGGATGAAGAAGATATATGCGAAAATTCTAAAACCTGGAGAGATAATCAAGAATTAATCAGATGTCATTTAAATCTGAAAAGAAGACATAATAGAAATGTTGAAGACGACATTATAATATTTTTAACTGTGTATGAAAGACCACCTTATAGTTATGTTAGAATATTTCTCAAAATCAGTAAGAAAAGTATGAACTGATTAACCACATTTTATTGATATTGTTACATCGTAGAAGAGAAGGGTGTGATGTAAAAGAAGACATTAAATCAGAAATTGAAAGCAAAAAGTTTAATGTGAAAAACTCCGTGAGAGATATCAATATTATTTTTGAACTGATGCATGACAGACGTAAGATATATACACAATTTAATAATCATCAATTAACTTATTATCCTGAACTTAAACTATAATCACACTATAATAATAACATGTAAAATGTTATATGTTATAATTATATTTCAATATTTCATTTTATTTCTTGTAAAAAAGTATTTAAAGAAATATAAACTATATATATATTATGAAAGAAATGTTGGAAACCGAAATCAATAATTATATCAATCAGAAATGCTACGATTGTTGCCACTTTAAAAAAGAGAATATGGAATTATATAAATTGAATCTACCTAATGGAATAGTTAATAATATGATTGATTGTTCTTTGGACGAAGAAAATATATGTAGAACTTGTAGAAGATGGAGACGATATCAAAATATAATAGAAAATTGTTTGGCGTTTAAAAAAATATAGATGAAAGAAATGTTGAAGATGACATATTGATATTTTTAACTGTGTATGAAAGACCACCTTACGATTATGTTAAACAGTTTCTTAAAATCAGTAAGAAAAGTATGAAATGATTAATGACATATTATGGATGTTGATTTATTATAGTAAACCCGGCGTTGATGTAAAAAAAGTCATAAAATCATATATTGAAAGTGAACAGTTTAATGTTAAAAATACAGTGAGAGATATTAATCTTATTTTTAAAATGATGTATGAAAGAGGTAAGATATATCAATTAAATTATTATCCTGAGCTTAAATTATCATCATAATATAATAATAACATGTAAAATATTATATGTTATAATTATATTTCAATATGTAATTTTAATTCTTGTAAAAAAGTATTTAAAGAAATAAACACTATATATATTACAGTGGAAATGTTATTTAATTATTCAAAGTGCGAATGTTGTAAAACTAAAAGGAATGATGTTAATATAACATTGTATAAGTTATTACCCGCCAATCTATGTAATAAAATAAGTGAATATGATGTATATTGTAATCAATGCTGTATAACAAGAGACCTTGAATAGTTTTTTGTTGAAGAACATAAGGGTAAGGGATATACAAAGTTTCAATTACAATTGAAATTCTTTATGAGATATCAAAAACGATTTCCTGTATGTTTTTACCATAAAATTGCTAGAAAGTCATTTGAAAAAGAAATTGATGAGTTCTTTAATAATAAAGATTTAATTAAGAGGTTTGGAGGGGCAATAAACCATATAAAGCATTTGTTAAAAAAATTCGAGACATGTTTGAAGCGATTGATTGGCATTTAATAAATAGAGATAAACGAGGTCTTGAATGAATTTAGAATAACTAAATATCATGTATGGTCTTACTACAACACTAAATATAAAGTATGTCTATTGTTGTATTTATTCTTTTGGGAATATTTATTCAATAATAGGAAAAACAATATCAAATATATAGATAAAGATGATATATATAAATATGTAGATTACATATTTGAAGACTTGTTACCTGACCACTATTTTAACCCATAATTCTCAACCATACTATAATAATAACATTTATACCCTTATATGTTATAATTATAATGTAAGTATAGCGTTTTATATATTGAAGATAAAATCCTACAAGGGACACCACGCCTAAAAAAATATATGATAAAAGTGATGAAACGAAGGAGGGGAGTGATGTTGTTGCTGTTCTATTTTTTGTCCGGAGAAATGGACAAATCGTTTTTAGACAGTTCGAATATTTTTTTGATGACAAATATTTTTTGCAAAAATGGATGAGGTGAGGAGATTGAGGAAATGACATTTTGAAGGGTAGTTGGTGAAATGAATGAGGCGAGGAGAAAGGAGAAAAGGATGGCAAAAATTTTGGAAAAATGATGAGAAAAAACGGATGAGATGGACAGAAAGGAATGTAGAAAAATGATGAAAACGAATAAGGGTAGAAGGTGGAAGATGAAAAAAATGTAGGGGGGGTGTATGTATGAAAGCAACTTATTGCTAGGCGTGGCCCTCGACTACTGTTCTTGGGGGAATGTTAGGGTTATGGAAATGGTGGATTATGCACTTGTTTTGGCGGGTTTTCGGAAAGTGGAGTTGAAGAGATTGAAAGGCATTTTCGGAAAGTGGAGTTGAAGAGATTGAAAGGCAGCGACCGGTGGGAGAGGGGTGGCACTGAGCAAGCGCGATGCCAAGCAGGCACCTAAGGGGTTACTGCGCAAGTGGCGGGCCTTCAGGGACAACCTGTACGTTTTCTCTGAGCTTGTGATGAACGTTGCGCATTGCATTTGCCAGGCATGGGTACAGTGCTGCGATGACGCGCGTGAGCGGGTGTGCTTACCAGTGCCAGACACAAGTACATTTGAGCGACACGCGCATGGGCGAGTGTGCTTACCATGTGACAGGCATGTGCACAGTGCTGAGATGACGCGCGTGGGCGGGTATGCTTGCCATGTGCCAGGCATGGGTACAGTGCTGAGATGACGCGCGCGAACGGGTGTGCCAGTCAGCTGCCGGGCATGTGCACAGTGCTGAGATGACGCGCGTGGGCGAGTGTGCTACCCATGTGCCAGGCGTGGGTACAGTGCTTGAAAATGTTGCAAACCTTCCACGGCGGCGAAACAAACAAATGGCAACAACAACAACAACAACAACCCCCACCACCACCACCACCACCACAACAGCAACAACAACGGAACAACGTAACAACGGAACAACAACAGCAACAGCAGCAACAGCAACAGCAACAACAACAACCAACAACAGCCAAGCAACAATCAACAAGAACTAACAGCACCCAACAACAGCAACCAGAACAGCAGCCAACACACACTTCAGCGAGGCAAGCCACCCAGACCCAGCCCCAAAAATGAGCCCAAAAAGCGCACACGCCAGAAGCAGATGATGCAGGCCCTTCGTTTTCCTAGGGCCTGGCTCCTCCAGACCAAGGTGAGTAATCCGACACAGCCGTCTAGTCCACGCAGAGTGCTGCATGGACAGAATTGGGACCCAAAGAAGATGATGATGATGACGATGATGATGCATGATAATGCTGCTGTGGGTGGTGTTCGTCATCACTACGCATCCTCAACATCACCAGCAGCGCTGAGTATAATTATCACTACTCACCCCCATGATGATGACAGGCATGCTGATATTCCTCATTATGCAGCCCCAGCATCGCCAGCAGTCATGATGATGATCATGACTGCGCATCCCTCGCATGTCACGCGTGTCAAGTCCGCTTTGACGGCACCCTTGAAACGTATCTCAAAGATGAAGGACGACGATTATGACGATCATCATCACCATGATGATGATGATGCTGATGATGAATCATCACTAGGCAAAAGATAAGGACCACAATGATGATTATCATTGCTCACCTTGGTTGATGACTGCTGATAATCATCATTGTGCACCCCCAGCATCGCCAGCAATAATGACGATGATGGTGATGAGCGCCATGATGAAGCTGGTGGTTTTGCTGATGGTGAATCATCACTACCCATCGCCAACATCACCAGCAGGGATGACGATAGTCATCACTACTCACCCCGATGATGACGACAGCCATGATGATAATCATCATTATGTATCCCAGCATCACCAGCAGTCATAATAATAATCATGGCATCCTCTGGGTCTATCGGCGCACATGAAACGTACTGGCAGGACCTATTGATGATGATCACGAGGATGCGGATGAGGATGCTGAAGATGATGAATTTTCGGTTACTTCTGTGCCCGTGCGCCTCCCCTCTTTGGCGAGGGGTCGGCGGATTTGCGCCCAACGGGTCAAGATGGGCGCGTTGAAGCTGGTGAAGGCAGCAGCTCACTGTCAGTCTCCAACATGGTGCGATTTCAGTCACGAGATGCGCTGACTGAGCTTGAGAGAGCGGAGGACCACAAGCCAGATGTGCCGGAGGAGCGTGCACGGATCGAGCACGCAGGTGGATGGATACAGCCTGGATCAGTCTCCAGAGCCCGAGCCCGAGCTCGGAGCCTGCGATTCGAGCCAGAAAAGGCAAGGCAGGACCGCAGCAACCAGTCGGCCATCAGCCAACTTGCTGCAGTTTCTTGAGGTGAATGGAGACCTGAGCCTTTCCAGGGCAGGGTGCTTGCTTTGCAGACACATGTGTCACGCGCGTGCTGTAGAGTGTGGGGGGGGGTTGGGGCTGGCCATTGCCGTTCTGTTGCCGGGCTGCGGAGGCCCTCGGGGACTTGGAGTACAAGCTCAACGACAATCTCCCCCCCGAGGGGCAGATAGCCAAGCCCCAAATCGAACCTTGCGCTGGAGAGAGAGCTAGAGAGAGCAGGTCAGCGCCGTGCCGGAGGTTTGCTCTGTCGCAAGGCTCCTTTTCAAAAAAACACGCCCAATCTCATTTTGACGCTCGTGTTGAATTTGGGCTCAGGAAAATTGGCTTGCAACTCAGCTGTTTTTTGCCTTTGGAGCTTGTCAGCGAAGGCAATGATCCCAACCCGACGCGTTTGGCAGCCATGATGGACCGAAGGATCGGGCTGGGCATACAAAGCGGAACAATCTGCGAGGCCAGAACCCCTTCTTCCAAAACTCCGCCAGTCTACGGCAACATAGGGCAACGACAGGCCTGGTTGGGGACTTCTTCAAGAAGGCCAGCAAGCACCTGAACGGCTAGCAAAGTAAAGCCTTGCGAACGACCTCGGCACGGTGGCGATCTTCATGGTAGGTCGTGCGCTGCTCTCTATCCTTCTTTCTGCCTGCTGTCCGTCGCTCTCCTTCTTCACTGGCATGCCACTGGTCAAAGCCTGCTGTTTGTCGCTCTCCTCCAGCCTGCTGCTGTCCGTCGCCCTGGTTTTCTTCACTGGGCCTGTCGCTCTCCTGCCTGCTGCTGTCCGTCGCTCTCGCGGTCTTCACTGGCATGCCACGGGTCAAAGCCTGCTGTTTGTCGCTCTCCTCCAGCTTGCTGCTGTCCGTCGCCCTCGCTTTCTTCACTGGGCCTGTCGCTCTCCTGCCTGCTGCTGTCCGTCGCTCTCGCGGTCTTCACTGGCATGTCACGGGTCAATGCCTGCTGCTGCCAGTCGCTCTCCTCCAGCCTGCTGCTGTCCGTCGCTCTCGCTTTCTTCACTGGCATGCCACGGTTCAAAGCCTGCTGCTGCCTGTCGCTCTCCTCCAGCCTGCTGCTGTCCGTCGCTTTCGCTTTCTTCACTGGCATGCCATGGGTCAAAGCCCACTGCTCTCCTTCGCTCTCCTTCTCGCAATGGGTTAAAGCCTTCTGCTCTCCTTCGCTCTCCTTCTTTGCTGGCACGCCATGGGTCAAAGCCTGCTGCTCTCCTTCGCTCTCCTTCTTTGCTGGCATGCCATGGGTCAAAGCCTGCTGCTCTCCTTCGCTCTCCTTCTCGCCATGGGTTAAAGCCTTCTGCTCTCCTTCGCTCTCCTTCTTTGCTGGCACGCCATGGGTCAAAGCCTACTGCTCTCCTTCGCTCTCCTTCGTCGCTGGCATGCCATGGGTCAAAGCCTACTCCTCTCCTTCGTCGCAGGCATTGCCATGGGTCAAAGCCTTCGCTCTCCTTCTTCACTGGCATGCCATGGGTCAAAGCCTTCTGCTCTCCTTCGCTCTCCTTCTTCACTGGCATGCCATGGGTCAAAGCCTACTGCTCTCCTTCGCTCTCCTTCTTCACTGGCATGCCATGGTCAAAGCTTACTGCTCTCCTTCGCTCTCCTTCTTTGCTGGCACGCCATTTGCTTCACTGGCATGCCATGGTCAAAGCCTACTGCTCTCCTTCGCTTTCCTTCTTTGCTGGCACGCCATGGGTTAACGCCTGCTGCTCTCCTTCGCTTTTCTTCTTCACTGGCATGCCATGGGTCAAAGCCTTCTGCTCTCTTTCACTCTCCTTCTCTGCTGGCACGCCATGGGTCAAAGCCTTCTGCTCTCCTTCGCTCTCCTTCTTTGCTGGCACGCCATGGGTGAAAGCCTGCTGCTCTCCTTCGCTCTCCTTCATTGCTGGCACGCCAGGAGTTCAAGCCTGCTGCTCTCCTTCGCGTTCCTTCTTCACTGGCATGCCATGGGTCAAAGCCTTCTGCTCTCCTTCGCTCTCCTTCTTCACTGGAATGCCATGGGTCAAAGCCTTCTGCTCTCCTTCGCTCTCCTTCTTTGCTGGCATGCCATGGTCAAAGCCTTCTGCTCTCCTTCGCTCTCCTTCTTTGCTGGCACGCCATGGGTTACTGCTCTCCTTCTGTCTCCTTCTTTGGCATGCCATGGGTCAAAGCCTACTGCTCTCCTGCGCTCTCTTTCTTTGACAGGAGTTAACGCCTGCTGCTCTCCTTCGCTCTCCTTCTTTGCTGGCATGCCATGGGTCAAAGCCTTCTGCTCTCCTGCGCTCTTCTTCTTTGCTGGCATGCCATGGGTCAAAGCCTTCTGCTCTCCTGCGCTCTCCTTCTTTGCTGGCACGCCAGGAGTTCAAGCCTGCTGCTCTCCTTCGCGTTCCTTCTTCACTGGCATGCCATGGGTCAAAGCCTTCTGCTCTCCTTCGCTCTCCTTTTTCACTGGCATGCCATGGGTCAAAGCCTTCTGCTCTCCTTCGCTCTCCTTCTTCACTGGCATGCCATGGGTCAAAGCCTTCTGCTCTCCTTCGCGCTCTTTCTTCACTGTCATGCCGTCAAAGCCTACTGCTCTCCTGCGCTCTCCTTCTTTGCTGGCACTCCAGGAGTTAAAGCCTGCTGCTCTCCTTCGCTCTCCTTCTTTACTGGCATGCCATGGGTCAAAGCCTGCTGCTCTCTCCTTCTTCACTTGCATGACTACTGTCCTTCGCAGCGAAGCCTGCTGCTTTCTTTTCTTGACCAGGTCCAAGTGTTGTGCCCTGCGTCTTGCTATTGGTCCGAGGCCACTGGCTTGCGCAGCTCCACCCACCCTCTGTCTCTGATGTGGGTCCGGGTTCACAGATAGGTTTCTGCCAGAAAATGTCATTTCACCGTCCATGCGGGTCTCCTTCTGCGAAGAAGGAGGGCGATGGAGAGAAGCAGGCTTTGGCCTACAGCATGCCAGTGAAGAAGGGAGAGCGAGGGACAGCAGGAGGTTTCTGCCCCGGACGAATGAAGAGGTTGGCACGGCGGCGAACATGCGCCTCTGGATAACCATTGGAACATGGATGCTGAGTAGCACTACTACATGTGGAGGATGTGGAATGGAGACGAAATGCGGCAGGAGTGCTGGGGAACCAGCAGCATTTTGTTGGGGCTGAGGCGACGGGGTGGGTGGGGAACTCAGGAGAAGCCACGTGCAGATCCCATGCTGAAGGGGAGGATCCCATCTCGGATGTGGAAGAAGCGTGAATGCATAGAAGTGTTCAAGTCCAGGACCCGACTCCGTGAGCTGGGCGATCAATGGTCAAGGATCCTTCCATAGCGGTTTGCGGCGTGGCGCGGGAATTCCGGCACTCGCAATACACTTTGGCTCAGGCAAAAGGGCTAGCTGCTGTTGCCCTTGGACTGTGTGACGCGTACATTTCTATTAGATTTGTCTTTAAGTTTTCGCCCCGCATTGTCCAATCTCCATGCAAAAGGAATGAGCTCCTGATTGGTTGTTGCAAAGTGCACAGGCATCCTCATGATGAGTTCCTGCTGCTGGCTTGCGACGGAGCGCTTTCCTCACTTCCCTTTCGTCGCCGTAGTCATTTGAGCGTTGTTTTCGTTTGTTCCCTGTTTCGTGTCTCCGTTTGCTGTGTGTTTCGGCTTCAGACTTTGCCTCGGCCCGAGGTTTGGGACGTCCTGAGCAGCCAGCAGGCTGTGGACTTCGTGCGTGCTCAGCTGGGCGATCGCAGTAGCTCCAGCCCTACAGTACGCAGTCCTGCCACAAGCGACGATTTGCTTGAGCAGTTAAGCAGATGCTTGCAAGTGCTTGCAAGTGCTTGCAAGTGCTTGCAAATGCTTGCAGGCTGGGCCACACGCTTGGCCAGCGGACAACTTCGCGGCTCTGAAATTTTGGGGCGATTGTGGCGGCCTCAGAGCTTGCAACCGTCACATAGGCTCGATCTCAGATCTAGGCTTGACCGCTGCTTGTCGCCCAACCTGGCGTCTACTGCTGGCCTCGGTGCCGTCGCTGCGACTGGCTCGGCCCAGCACGGCCCAGCACGGCCCAGCTCAGGTGGCGACAACATGACGGCGGCGAGCGCTTAGAACCGATGTCTTGCCATGCAATTCAAGCTTGTGAAGCATGGACATGGACATTGACCGTGTTGCTTCAGGTTCTGGTGCTGTTTCTTCCACAATGGGGAGGCTCTGCGGCTCACTTTGACATTGACGTTTTTGTACCATCTTGCAGCTTTCAGGCTGCGGCTACACTCCTCATTGGAATCCCTGACCGGCTTGAGCTTGCCTCGGGCTGAGCGGGTCCAGTGCATGCCAGGTGCGCGAACCCACACCAAGTACATCTCAGAGCACTCCGATTGCTCGAGGCGAATTAGCACAATTTAGCAAATGTACTGTGTATTACTAGGTACCAGTATATCCATTCTGCGTAAAGCGCGCTTCCAAAGCGTTGTGCACGGCAGAGAAATGCCAACCCGTTGCGACGCCGACAAGGCCTGCAAAAGGTTGCAAGTGGAGCAATGCAAGTCCTTCATTGCCAAGTGCCAAGTGGGCCAAGAGTGCCAAGCCAAAGGTTTCCAACTGAGCCGCAGCTGTTTGAGTTTGTGGGTGCCAACGATTCACGGAGGCGGGATGCTGTGTACACAGAGTTTCGGACGTTCTGACTTGTCAGGAAATGGATGCGCTGCCGGAGGGATGGAGTGCTTACCAGGACGATCAAGGTTCTGCCTCCATTTCAGGTCTCAAGGCAGCCGGGCGTTCTCTGAGGTCGCACCTATTACGCCAATCCCTCGCGATGGCCTCAGTGAAATTCACATCATTTGACTTCAAGGAATCTTCCTGTTCGTTGCATTCCGTCCATGTGAATTTAATTCTGAGGACCGGTGAGACCAGTTGGGACCCTCCTGCCCCCGTTGCGCCCGCGCTCCCAGACGGCTGGACGGCCCACCAGGCAAGCACGAGTCGCACAGGTTGCGCAGATGGAGGGTCCTTTAGATGTTACATAATATAACCCATGTCCTATGTTGCATGCACTGAGTTGCATTGCTGCAAGCGTTGCCCTTCAAATATCTTCAAATGGACCCTTCCAGATGCCGCATTGCATCACATGTCACATGCAGGACCCTTCCACCGGGAAGACCTTCTATGCCAATTGCACCACCGGCGAGTCAAGCACTAGCCTCACGCGTGCAAGTCTGTACATCCGTGCGCTCCATCCAAAGTTCTTCCAACAATAAAATCGCAATAGAACTTGTTGAAATGCCGTTGAACATATTGAAATCGATGGAATCGAGTCTAAGGCTGGGAGCCGCCGACAGCACCAGCTGCGCCGGCTGCCCCCGCGCCGGAGAAGCCTGGCCGCTGGTCCGTGGACTTCACGCCAAGACCCTACGGAGCTTCAATTTGAGTTCGAAGTGTTCGAAGTTTTCGAAGTTCGCTTGTGAAAATCAATTTGTATTCATTTGTGCTTAAGTTGGGCGTGGGTTCGGTGCCGACAGGTATACTATCGGGCCAGAAGGCTCGGAGCACATATTCTCGGGCAAGGTCCAACTGCTCGACAAATCCGTGCTACTTGGCACATTTTGGCACTTGTCCGGCGAGACCAGAATTCCGAATTCCGGGATCAATCGCTCAAGTACCCTGAGGCATAGCTCCGTAAGTTTAGTGGTGGACAGCCTGAACTCGGGTGCTTTGGCAGCGTCCCCAGATATTGATTGACTGCCGCCATTGGACCGCAGACTCAGGCGGTGCCTGAAGGCTACTGCGTGGTGTATTCAAACTCCAAGAAAAGCTGGCGGCCCAATGTGTCCGAGTATTACACTTGATGCACCTGATGCCCTCGCCCTCAGACTACTTTTTGCTGTGGCGAGAAGAGAAGGAGACGGAAGTCTTTGCCTTGCCGTGCTCCTAGTATCCCATGAGGCACTCGAATCCGTAACGGTGTGACTCACTTCAAGAGTATAGCGCAACGGGATCGAATGAGTCGAGATGTTTCTCAGGCTGGGCCTCGGCGGCTCTGACCAGCTTCCAGCTCAGCCAGTCGCCATGGGTCGGTCGGTCACCTGTGCACGGATCATTTGCCATAGACGCCACGTTCAGGTGGTCCACGTCACAGGTTCTGCGGCTGGACCCAGCTTGGACAGAGGTCTGTGCTTGAGCCACGTAACGGTATAGGTGCTTGCAATTTACTAAGCACGGAGTCTTGGCGTGAGCGAGTGAAGCGTGTCTCACTTTCTCCTACCATGTGCGCCCTGGCAGGATGTGTTTGCTGGGCGCTGTGACGTGGTTGACAAGGTGCCGTCAAGGGCCGCAAATCGAAGTCCCGGAGCTCGAGCTGAGGTGCGCTATGACTCGGTCACAGCTGCGGTGGAGGCGATCGATGCCTGCGGTTCTTGGTGTTGATGTTAAATGTGGGGATGCCAGGCCTTGAATGCCGGCATCGTCTATGAAGGACAGAGAGGCTTTTGCGCAGTTTGGTCTGTCAGGAGCTCAGAGCGACAGACTGAGACTGGGACATCAAAAGACGGCCTGAAACGTCACAGGCCTCCCAACACTGCTTCCACTTGGTGTGGCGGCAGGCCGGCTTCTTCGATACGCCACATCGGTACGCATGCCGCATGCCACGCAAATCCGAAAAAGAAAAGCACCACGGGCAATTCTACCGCGTGCCTTGTGAGCTCGAGGACAAGGAGCAGGAGGCCTACGTAGCCTTGGGCCTCGCATGAGCACTTTTTGCAGCTCTCACCGGCACCCTGCAGAGCAGGGCGTTCCTGGGATGTTCGACCGTTCGTGTCTCATGTCTTCACCGTGTATCATGGAATCCGAAGCTGATTGAATGAACTATGGACTTGCTGGTGCTAGCTGCCTGTGGTGTCACTTTACCGAACTGCGGGGACCTCAAGAGAGAAGGCAAGAAGCAGAGAAGTTCAGAAGTCGTTGCGGTTTCAAACATCACCGAACTGGCCAGTCTGAAGCGCGTCGCGCGCGATCTGGCTCAAGGGTCGAAACGGAGAGAAAAAGGCCACTGAAACTGGATGGCTTGCAAACATTTCAGCACGGGAACTGGGAGTGAGAGATAGACGCCATCAGATAAAGCAGGCTGGAGGAGATGCAGAAAAACAAAGCAGACGTGAAAAGGCATTAAGAAAGGACAAGCTGAGACGAGGCGAATTCGACTTGCACAATGGCACTGGAGTTGCCTCCGTGGCTTGAAGCCCGAGCGATACGCTACGCAGGCAACATGTTTCTTTTGGGAACCCGGCAAATCTTTCAATTGGCTTGAGAGTTTCTTGAGTTGTCTGTTACTTGAGAGGGTGAGATTCACGTGAGGCCGTGGTGTTTTTGCGGTCTGTGCCCGAGTTGGCCTCTTCATGGGCAGGTTGGCTCGTTAGGATCAGAGACGCTCAGACTGAAGGTGCGGCAATTGCCTCGCGGAGGTTTGGTCCTCTCGGCAAAGCCTATTATGCGCACCATCTCTCGCGATGCCAAGCCCTTCAGATGCTGTTTTTGTTTCAGCCACTCGGTTGCGCTCGGCTGAAGCTCTGTGAAGCTTTGAGCTTTCGCGTTAGGCAGGAGCGAGTTGGCTCTGTCAGAGGCTCGCTGGCCCGGAAGTTCGCACGCTTTCAATTCTCGGAGCATCTCGGGGCTGTGCTTCTGTTCGCAGGTTTGCCGGTGCCGTTCGGCCTGGTGTTCTCCCACTTGCAGGCACCTGGATGAGGCGTGCGTTCTGCCATGCGCATGTTTCTTGTTTAGGCGTTCTGTATGCGACGGTTTTGTTTGTCGATGTCACAGCCAATTCACAACCCCTAAGCCCCCAATGGCGTGGGAATGCGCCCGCCAGGTGCATACATGCATGTTACATGCATGTTACATGCATGTTACATGCAGGTTAGGCAGGTGTTTGAGGCAGAGGATTGCATGACCGATTCGCCCTTCGAGCGTCTTGAAGGGCGCTTGCGCCACGGCCATTGAGAGTTACTAAGGGATTCATAATGATTCATATTTTCCGGTTCTTGTTCTGGGCGCCTTTGCGCTTGGGTCTCTCTCAGAGTATGTCTGAATGTCTGAATGTCTTGGAGTCTTAAATGCCGGGAGGCACATGCTGCCGAGTGCGTTTTGCTGGCGCAGCTTGCCTCGGCATCAGCGAAGGCACGGCCTTGGCCGAATTCGGAGATGGAGCGGAACTTCAATTCGAATTCCCGAGAGTTCGGAGTTCGGAGTGTGGATGTCGGATCGAGGTGCCGTCAGAAGTCTGGGAAAATGCTGCACTGCTGGCCTCGCTGCGTGCAAGTCTGTGGGCAGACCCGAGCCGCCACCTCAAAAGCCAACGTGGCGACGTGCGCGAAGTGCGAAGTGCGCGAAGGCCGCGAGGCAGAGCTGGAGGAATTGATGCAGGAGCCCCCATCCAGAGCCGGCGCCGGGCACTCGGGCGCTCGGGCGCTTAGGCGCTTGCACGGGTCGGGCGAACTGATACTTCTAGCCAGAGCAAGCTGCCGCAAAGAGTCATAGAGTTAAAGAATGAAAGGGTAATATTTTTGGAGATGAAGTTCCCCTTTGCATCGCTCTTTCCTTTAGTTTGTCCATCTCATTGTGTTCTCCCGATTCCTTGCTCTGATTGTGTGCTCAAATTATTTTCAGATTTGGTTTCCTCTGTTCTTTGGGAACTCGGGATTTCTACCCGTTAGTTTCTCTTCGCTTGGGTGTCCAGGTTTGGTTATTTTTGTCTTCGAAAGTGTGGGTTTCCCCGGGGGGGCGGGGGGCGTGGGGGCCGTCGGAGCCTGCAGGTCACCCGAAACCTCCCCTAAACCCAGCCCCAAACCTAAGCCCACCATCATCCCATCCTCCGGAAGCGATCTCAAGCAAGGCCAAACCATTCCCTAAGACACTGCGCACTGATGCAGCGAGGCCACTGCGGAGTCTAGTGAAAGCTCAAGCTTGCCTTGTGTTTGTATAGAGGTTTGCGCCGCGCAAATCTCAAGCCTGCAGGGACACACACGGGACAAGGTCGACGGCGCAACCCACAAGCATTTCTCGTTGGTTTTCGCAGTTGGGGCCGCGCCGAAGTGAGAGTTAGAGACTGAGAGACTCGTTCAGTATGAATTTCACGCGAGTCCGGGGCAGGTCTTCACACGAGCAATCTCTCTTTGATATCGACATCATATCTTTCTATTCTATCTCTCTGTGACATGCCTCTCTCATCTGGGACGTGTCTGTGTTCAATCTCGGTGGCCCTTCGCAAAACGCCTTCCACCTTTTCGCCATTCTCCTTCGGGTTTCTCCGTTGCATCGCCTTTTCCCTGTTCCATCTAACCCATCTCTAGTTTTGTCATTCCATTTTTCTTTGATTTTGTCACTCCATTCTTGTTGGTCTCATTTTGTACATCTTCGGGTTTTCTTGGAACTCGGATGACGGAAAGCGCTTCTTGAAGCGCTGGGAGTTAGTGTACGAAGTTGTGGGGGGGGGGGGGTGGGGTGGGGGAAAAAATAGTAAAAGGGGATTTGAAGGAACTGAAAATCCTTTTACTATTTTTTCTATCAACCAATGAAAAACACATTGAAAAACCAAGTATCAAATAATAGATAAGGTTAATAAATCACAACCTTATTCATTCTAAGTAATTCCTAGAAAAGATACACACCTTATCCATTATTTTTTCACTACTTAACCTATTTCATTTTACTATTTGTTTATCCTTATTCATTTTATATTTTAAGTCTTTTTCCAATTCTCAGAAACTCCAGTTGTTCTTCATTGTTTCTTTTTACCTTATTCATTGTTCACGAATTTTTCACTCAGACTTAAAAATATGACTAAAACACATTTCACCTAATAGCTCCACAAAACCAAACAGTCAAAGCACACAAGAAAACTAAGAAAATATAATAATTCAATCTTTACAAACGATAAGTATAATATAATTATACATATAATATTTTACATGTTATAATTATATTTCAATTAAGAATTAAGGATTTAAGATAACAGTCAGGCAATATGTCTTCAAATATGTAATCTACATATTTATCAATATCACCAATGTCTATATATTTGATATTGTCTTTTCCTATTATTGAATAAATATATTCCCAAAAGAATAAATACAGCAATAGACATACTTTATATTTAGTGTTGTAGTAATACCATACATGATATTTAGTTATTCTAAATTCATTCAAGACCTTGTTTATTTTATCTTTGCTTAATAAATGCCAATCAATCTCTTCAAACAAATCACGAAATTCTTTAGCAAATGATTTATACGGTTTAATGCTTAGTTCTCCTCCAAACCTTTTAATCAAATCTTTATTATTAAAAAACTCATCAATTTCTTTTTCAAATGACTCTCTATCAATTTTATGACAAAAATATACAGGAAATCGTTTTTGATATTTCATAAAGAATTTCAATTTTAATTGAAACTTTGTATATCCCTTATCCTTATATTCTTCAACAAACAACTTTTCAAGGTCTCTTGTTATACAGCATTGATTACAATATACATCATATTCACTTATTTTATTACACAGATTAGCAGGTAATAAGTTATACAATGTAAAATTAATATCATTCTTTTTATTATTACAACATTCACACTTACTATAATTAAACAGTGTCATTTTTCCTCTTAATATATTAAGTCAATATTTCTTTAAGTCGTTTTCAAAGAATTTATTTTATAATGGCCGTAAGCAAGTGAGTTTACACTATCTATCCAATATTTTTTGTTTTCATAACTACTAAGAGCAATTTTTTTAGTTGTTATACTAAAAATTCTGTGGTTTTTACTTCTAATACTATTAAATGACTTATGTATAACCTCATTAGTTTTTAAAACCGTCTCAAACTCTCCATATTTCATTTGACGTCTTACTGTGCCTTTTGCTATGCCCTTACATTTCTTATATTTTTTATCATCACCATAAACTGAGTAAGCATAGCATTTAGGACGAAGAGCTATAAACCCTGTTATTATTTTACTTTTTAATTCATCCTTAAATTTCCCTAATACTTTCTTGTTATTATCATCATAACATTTATGTTCCTTAGGATAATCTGAAAAATCTAATTCTTTTTTAATTGTATTAAGGTCTTCATAAATGTCATTGGTTTTAGTATGAAATACAAAACTATCAGTATCAGTATATACCATTTTAATATTATCTCCATATTTAGGCTTCATAACGTCATAATAAAATTTATACATGTGTTGCTTACTCAAATCTAAAATACTCATCCCAATAAATATAGGTTTGTCTAGTTTCAACTTTGTTTTTTGCTTTTCAACTCCAACCAAATTTTCATTAATGATATGACTATGTTTGAAGTTAGGATTACTTACACACTTCATATATCTAGTTTCATCACTCACAACTTCAAAGTCTAAATGTTTTCGCTTATCCTCCATTGTTTTTCCAAATATGGCATTGTTCATCAATTTGTAAACATCTTTCTCAAAATCATTTCTAGCATTCTTCCTCTTCTCAGTGTTAAACTCAATGTAAGGTTTTAAAACTTCTTTTTGTTCAAATTTAATTGCTCTATGAATTTTCTTAAGTTTTAACCCTTGCTTCAAATAAAATTGCAAGGTTCTTATATGGATTACATATTTTTCTTTATCATTTAAATTCAATACTAATTTATTTGTTTTCTCATCCGTAGGTTTTTTATGATTTAAAAATTCATAAATTTCAATTTGTTTATCTGACAGCATGTCGGCTTTAACAT